CTTTTTTCTTTTCTCTTTTTGCTTTCACATACTAGGAAAGTCACTTGAAAATATTCTACTTAGTGTTCAAAGAAAGGGGGAGGGGTTCCAGCTCTTCTGGAACCCCTCCCCCTTTCTTTGAACACTAAGTAGAATATTTTCAAGTTCTGTTTTGTTTCTCCAATAGTTGTCTTTGTGGTCATTTTATCTGATGGTCTCACTTCAGGTTGACCAGGTGACCCTTGGCTATCTATCCATATTTAACCTTGAAACAAGTAAAAATGGATAGGAGCCCTGTGTTTGAAGTCCATGATGCTGTTGGCCCTTTTGCTGCTAGAATGGCCAGCTATTTTAACCAGAAATGATACCTTCTTTTTAACAGAGGAACTCATAGTCTGATTTAATCCCTCCTCCCTGTCTGTTGGACATTAAGCATTTGGCTGCCATGCTGTTTGGTGAGGTGGAGGGAGGGTAGGCTTGATGGTTCTGCTTATGGACTCACAACGGATTCTCATTTTTAGGGCCATGCTCCATCTCTGTCCTCCACCCATCTCTTGGAAGTTTCCAGAAGCAGATTGGCTCTAGGTACTTTGGGCTGTGCCATCCTGTCCTTGTGCCAGTCCATCATGCTTCCATATACTTGTTGAAATTTCTCTTCCACTGAGATGCCCTTCCCTGTCAGTATATTCATCTATAGGCTTGTACCTTTTTAGTCCTCTTCTGGAATGTTAGTTGTGTCTTGGGAGAAAGGAGAGAAATGCCTGGGGTCATCCCTTCACCTTTAAAGTAAAGATGATCTCTGCATTTGCAAAGCAATTTGTAAAATCTTTTTACACATATTATTCCATTTGAGCTCTCTGACAACCTTTGAGATCGGAAGGGCAACAGCTGTTATATCCATCTTACAGATAAAGCAGCTGAGTCTCAGAGAGATTAAATGACTTGCCTGAGGTTATACTGCAAGATTGGGATGGAGCCAGGATTCGAGGCTGGGTGTCCAGGCTCTGTCCTTGGTCCAGGGTTCGATGAAGGCATTGGAGGCAGAGAGATTAGGACCCAGACACTGGTAACAGTAGAGCTTGGGACCCTTCCTAGAGTGTTGCCAGGGCTGTGTTTCTGGGAGGAATTTGAAGCAGTGCCCATATAGGGACCTGCTCTAGGGGTCTGTGAGTTGCAAGGATTGGGGAGGGGCAGGGTGTTGCTGTATGATGGCACCTCTCCCCCATACCCTGTGAGCTCCTGAGAGGTGAGATTTGGGAATCCTGGAAGGAAGGTTTGCCTTCTGTCAGCCAGGATGGGAGGAGGGCTTCTTCTGGTACTTGAAAGCTGCCAGGCTGGTTCCTGTCCCAGGGCCTTTGCACTGACTCTTCTCTCTGCCTGGAATACAGTTTTCCCAGATATTTGCACAGCTCACTCTTGTGTCATTTCAGGTTTCTGTGCAAGGCTCTCCTCCTCAGGAAAGCCTTCCCTGATCACTCAGTCTGAAACAGTCACTTTCCCGTCCCTTCATCCTGCTTTACTTTCCTTCCTGGCACTTACCACTTTCTCACAAGGCATTGTATATTTGTTTTCCATTTTCCTCCCCAACTGATATGTAAGCTTGTTTTGTTCACTACTGTATTTCTAGTTCCTGCCATATGGAGATGCTCAATAAATAGTGAGACTTGATTTGAACTCAGATGTTTCAATTAATTAATTAATTTATTGGTATACTCAACAAATATTTCCCATTTATCTGCTATGTGCCTTAGCACTGGAGTTACGGTGATGAGCTCAGGCATGATCCCCTGCCCCCATGGTGTTTACTCTCTAGTGAGGAAGATCAGGAGTCATGATAGGTCATGGGTTTTACAAAAGTGGAAAGTACAGGGGGCTGTGAGTGAGCAAGGTCAAGACTGTTCAGTTTAACAATAAAAACACGTACTGGATGCTTTCTTGTGTCAGGTGCCATGCCTAGTCTTTTATCACATCATCCTATTTAATTATTTTAACACATCTGGGAGGGCAAGAGACTATTATACCCATTTTATAGATGAGAAAACTGAGGTTTAGAGAGGTTAAATAACCAGCTTGAGGTCTCATAGTTAGGAGATATCTAACCTGGGTCTTAGCCCAAGTCCCGCTGGTCACCATCTTCCATTGTTTATTGTTTTTCCTGCAATCACCCCTCCCCCACCAGCCATGTATTCTTCCTGTAGGGGAGGCTTGCCCTGTTTGGGGACAACTGTTACCACCTCCAATTAAACTCAGGGACACATCTCTGCAAAATGAACTCTTTTTAAAAAAAGGGTTTTGTTTTGTTTTTGTTTTGTTTGAGATGGAGTCTTGCTCTGTCGCCCAGGCTGGAGTGCAATGGTGTGATCTCGGCTCACTGCAACCTCTGCCTCTCAGGTTCAAGTGATTCTCCTGCCTCAGCCTCCCGAATAGCTGGGATTACAGGCATGTGTCACCATGCCCAGCTAATTTTTGTATTTTTAGTAGAGACAGGGTTTCACCATGTTGGTCAGGCTAGTCTTAAACTCCTGACCTCAAGTGATCCGCCCGCCTCAGCCTCCCAAAGTGTTGGGATTACAGGCATGAGCCATCACATCTGGCCTAAAAAGGGTTTTTTAAGTAGGCATTTCCTTCTTTTGAAACCATGGACCCCTGATGAAAGCTTCAGATTCTCTCCAAAGATATGCATGTGGGTGGATAGACATGGGTTTTGCCTGTAACTCGGGGTACAGGCATTTCCTTTAGCCCTTCAGTGGACCCCAGGGCAAGAGCCATAGTGATAGTTTCTTGGTAACACTCAGCTCCTGAAGGCTGGTCACTTTCCCATTCATTATCAAGCTAGGAGAGCTTCCTTTCAAGGGCTCCTCTCTGCACCAGTGCCCAAGACTAGTTAGCTTCTTAGTGGTCCACAGCCAGGTGACCCCAGACAGCTACAGAATGCCTGGCCCTGAAGTGGGGACTGTGCATGCTCACGAGAGAGAAACCATGGTGCTGCCTTTAAGTAGTGTGTGATCTATCTGCATTTCCCAGTGTTACTGCAGAATTACAGTCTTTCGAACTACTCAGTGGAAGAAGGATCCCATGATCCAATACTTTTTTTGGAAATTCACAATATACAAGAACATATGAAGGGATCTGAAAAGTCTTGCAGTAAAGAAAAGCATTTAACTTTATTTAACTCAGCTTTTCCCAACTATATTTGACCATAGAACTCCTCTTTAAAAAATAGTGCATGATTCTTTGCCGAAGATCTAGAGCTCATCAGGAGGGGCTCACTCAATTGTATAACGTGCCTTGTGATCCCTTTCTTAAGAAGGACGGGGTGCTGGCCTGGCTTGGGGAGCCTCTGGATCTTTCTGGATCTCATGGCTCTCACCAGGCCAGGGCCACACTGGAAATTCCAAAGGCTGAGACCCTAGAGAATTCTGGACATTTCCATAGAATAGGAGAATCACCTGCAAAACCAAGTGTAAGTGAAAGCAGGAAGAAATTGGGCAGGATGTAAGAAACAATTTCTTGACTGAAATGGGGAAGAAATAACCAAAGATAGGGATAGGTAACAGAGATGCTAAAGCGGATCTATGGCAGAGAGGGCCTGGGAATGTGGACGTGGCTCTGAGGGCAGGCACTGCTGAAAGAGGAGAGAAACCAATGAGAAGGGTGAGCGACTATTTGAGGTTAATGTGTGTGAGGATCTCATATTGGTCAGTTAGATTTTGTGGGAATTTATTTTTGATTGGGTTAATTCATTCACTCAATAAATATTTATTGAGTATCTATATTTTGTTAAGCACTCTTCTAGAATTTGGGGATATAGAAAAAACCATTATATGTATGCATAATTATAAATAAGCAAATGTAAATGTGTAAATTAAAAATGAGTTCTTTTTGTAGGTTTCAGTCAAAGAGAGAATGCTGTGTGGTTTAGATGTTTCTTTTCCTGAAAGTGCTTTAGAATGCCATGATGCTGAGATGTTTAAATGCCAACTAGCATAAAGGCTGGCCGAGGGTTGTTCAGGGACATGGGGAAGTCTCAGGTTTCTCATCTCATCCTCTCTGTCATTTGGAAACTGTAATTTGCCCTTGAGAAGGGAGAAAGAGAAGGGCATGCCCTGCTCATGAGCCCTACTGTGTGCTGAACTGTGTGGGTATCTGACGGGCATACCACTGGGGTCTGACTCTCTTTATAGACAGATATTCCCAAGAGAACTATGTAGGCCCTTGGGGGTGGGCACGTGAGGAAGAAGGGTTCAAAATGTTTCTGGGATTTTTTTAATCAGGTATGGTAGGACATGCAGACATGAAAATGACCATGATGAAGAAAGACATTATATTCACAGATCCCTTGAAGCAGGAGGCGTGCCCTGCAGGGTAGCCCCAGGTCCAGTCAGGAGGTAGCAGTGAGGGGAAAGCATGAGTGAGACTATTGAGGTTTCGAAGGAAGGAATGGACAAGGCAGGGTAGGCAGGGTAGCCAGGTTTAGGATTGGCTAGTTTGAATAATACTGGCAGGCTCTGAAGCATACAGACTGCCTCAGGTCATTTGATAGCTGGCCCTGGGATGATTAGGGTGAGGGTGGCAGGGGGTGGTGGGATGGTGGCCTGTCAATGAGGAGGTGGTTGAGGGTGTGGGCTCTGATTGGTTGGTTTGAACAGGAGACTGAGGCAGGAGGATCCCTAGAGGTCAGGAGTTCGAAACCAACCTGGCCAACATGGCGAAACCCCATCGCTACCAAAAAATACAAAAATTAGCTGGGCATGGTGGCACACCTGTAGTCCCAGCTACTTGGTAGGCTGAGGCATGGAAAACCCAGTGGCAGCAGTTGCATTTTGCTGAGATCACAACACTGCACTCCAGCCTAAGCAACAGAATGAGACCCTGTCTCAAAAAAATATATACGGTCAATGCCAAGGGCAAGCCCAGGACTCAACTTGGCCTATGGGAGATCTGGAGGGAGCATTTTTGGGAATGACTGCACTCTGTCCTCCCTGTGCCTCTCATGTACTCTTCTGTCCTCCACTCCCCAGGGTGAAGCAGTCAGAGCTGTTCGACAGGTGGAAGAGCCTCCAGATGTGCAAATGGGCGATGAACATCTCCGAGGCCAACCAGTTCAAGTACCTATATGATTCGTCTGTCCTCCCTTCTCCTTGTATGGCTCTCCTCAATGCCACCTCTTCCAGTCTCTGTCATCCTGCAAGGCCCAGCTCTCAGCGGGCATCTTCCCCAGAGCAGGCCCTGACTGGGGTTAGGAATCTGGGCAGTGGGGGCAGGGGGATCTGATTCAACATGCAGGCTGAGGCGGGCACCTTGCCAGGTGCTGTCCTCCACCTTCTCTCCCTCAGCCCTTGCAGCAGCCTTGCAGGGTCAGTGGTGTCATCTCTAGTCCACAGCTGAGTTCATGGAGGCTATTAGCAGGGAAACATGTGCTGGCGTTCTCCGCAGGCCTGTGTGAAGGCTCATTACGCATCCTCTGTGGCCTCATGGTCCCCACCTCCCCTGTCCCGGGGCAGCCGCTCTGACCCAGTGCCTTCTCCTTCTCAGAGCACTTGAGTTCTTCTAGCTTACACGAGACATTTAAGCCCTGCTGCAGATTCTTTTATAAATGCTCTCTAACCATAATGAGCATATTATAAAGTCCCAGAGAGGTTAAGAGCTGTATCTTAAAGTTCTGTGGGAGCTCAGCAAATAACAGATGTCCAAAAATTCTTTTGATTAATGGTGAACTTTAGGGTCTTCTCCACCTCTACAATTTTATGAGCTTATGGGATTATTTTAGTGTAGGCAGACCACATTTTATGGAGTTGATGTGATCTGGCCGTTTGTGCCTATGCTGGATTTTGGCACTCAGGTCCAAGTTTAAATGTACTGAGGTGCTCTGAGCATGAAGGAGTTCACGCAAGAGATTGTGAAAAGCAAAGATGACTAAGTTTTTTGTATTTTCTTTATAAATCATTGGTTCTAATTTTCTGCAGCTCCAGACCAAGTCTAGAGGCAGAGTAGTAGTTTTAGGAGGCACATTTTCAGAAACGTGGATGTTTAAAGTGATAACATTTGAAGATCAGGTGCCAGAGGCCTCTGGGAGACTACAGAAACCCAGCAAAGGCCTGACAGTAGCTTGCAGAGACCCATCTATTATAAAAGCAGAACATGAGCTTGAGCTTAGCGCTGCGAGAGTAGAGAATAGGTCCATAATCTGTGCTGCCAATTGGCCCCTTAGAAACATTACTGTTTGGCTGGGTGTGGTGCCTCCTAGAACTTTGGGAGGCCAAGGCTGGCAGATCACGAGGTCAGGAGTTCAAGACCAGCCTGTGCAATATGGTGAAACCCTGTTTCTACTAAAAAATACAAAAATTAGGTGTGGTTAATTTTTGGTGCACATCTGTAGTTCCAGCTACTCAGGAGGCTGAGTCAGGAGAATTGCTTGAATCCGGGAGGTGGAGGTTATGGTGAGCTGAGATGGTGCCACTGCACTCCAGCCTGGGTGAGAGTGAGACTCAATCTAAAAAAAAAAAAGAGAGAGAAATGTTGCCATGCACACTGCACGGAGGTGTCCTGGGGGCAAGTGAGACCTGGCACACTGAGAGTATGGCTGATAAAACACTCAGCCCAGATCAAGTCAGTGAGAGGCAAAAGCCTGCTGTCCAGGCTCAGGGCGGAATAGAAGTCTCAGCCCTGAGACTCACATATCTCAGGAAGCAACTGGGAAATAATGTGGCAAGAGAAAAACAGGGATGAGTGTGGGAGCCTTTGGCAGGGACCAGACAGCACAGTGCAGGGGTGGAGCTCTGGGGGTGAAGGGCGTGGAGCAGTTTCAGGTGTGAGAAAAGGCAGTGACATCAGGACTTGCCATGCTCTAAGTGAGCAAATCTTCAAGGCTGGTCAGTTGCCTCTCTTTGCTCTTATTTCAAGCTCATGGAACAAAGATGAGATGCTTCCTTCAGGCTGGCAGGAACCTGGTGCCATGAGGGAGTGGCAGGTGGCTGCTAGAAGGCAGGCATTAGCATTCCAATGACAGGAAAGGAAGCCTGTGACTGAGGCGTTCTCCCACCCTGCTGCCTACAAATAGGCACGCTGACATTCCAGTTTGTATATCCGCCGGTCATGAGCTTGGTTAGTATGAGTCAGTCTCCCTCAATGGGAGTGCACTTCAGTGGGCTGACAAGACTGAGCTTCTGGACTAGCAAAGCTAAAAGGCCCAGGTGCTGGTTTGTAATGCTGACCCATGGTCCTGCCTTGCCAGGCCTCTGGCTTCCTCTCTGGGAAGCCTCAGGTACAGTCTGAAACCCAGCTCTTCATAGGAAATTCTGCTCTCTGTGACTGGGAGCCAGATGGGCTTCCCAATGAAGTCCCTACAAGAGATAAAATTAAAAAGAAAATTATAGGCTGGGCATGGTGGCTCACACCTGTAATCCTAGCACTTTGAGAGGCTAAGAGGCTGAGGCAGTGGATCATCTGAGGCCAGGAGTTCAAGACCAGCCTGGCCAATATGGAGAAACCCTGACTCTACAAAAAAAAATTTTTTTTACCTGGGCATGGTGGCACATGGCTGTAATCCCAGCTACTTGGGAAGCTGTGGCAGGAGAATCGCTTGAACCTGGGAGGCAGAGATTGCAGTGAGCCAAGATTGCGCCATTGCACTTGAACCTGGGCACAGAGTGATACCCTGTCTCAAATAAATAAGTAAATAAATAAAACTTTCCTGACTTTGGCAAGCTGGAATCACGAATTACAGTGGATTAGAGATAGAAGAACCAAGTCTGCATGAAGAAACTGGGGCCCGGAGAGAGAGACCTTCCAGTAGCCTCACAGCTGGTGGGGGCAAAGCAGACGAGACTCCAGGACGGGAACCCAAGTTTCCATGCTAGGCCTGACTGGGAGCTCTTCGGAAAGCTTCTTCTCTCCCTCTGTTGGTGGCTGTGACGCGGGCTCAGTGGAGGAGTTCCGACAGTGAAGACTGGGGCAGTGGGGTGGGGCTTCATAGAGAGAAACCTGTCCTGGGTCCTGAATGAGTGATTGGGAGAGGCAAAGGCGGGGCCTTGGGAGAGGCGTGGAAAAGGGAGGAGACACCAGGAGCAGAGGAGCAGGGCAGGGGTGAGTGAGGGAATGGGTAGGCAAGAGAGGCCTCGGCACCATGCAGGGTGGGGGTGAGTGTGGGAATGAGTGGGCAGGAGAGGCTTCAGTTCCATGCAGGGAGGGGACGAGCATGGGAATGGTAGAGTTGAGGTTTTAAGAGGTACATTTTCAGAAATGTGAATCTTTAAAGTGATAACATTTGAAGATCAGGAGCCAGAGGCCTCTGGGAGACCACAGGAGGCCTCGGCTCCATGCAGGGAGGGTGTGAGTGTGGGAATGGATGGGCAAGAAAGGCTTCAGCTTCATGCAGGGTGGGGATGAGTGTGGGGATGGGTGGGCAGGAGAGGCCTCAGCTCCACCCCTCTGTTCTCTACGAGGCTGTTCTCTGCCCACATCAGGTCTTTCTTGCCTGTCTCCCTGCCTGGCAGGTCCACTCTGTCCAGGTGCTGCAATGCCCCTGCCTTTCTCTTCACCACCCAGAAGAACACTCCCCTGGGGACAAAGCTCAAGTATGAGGTGGACACCAGCGGCATCTACCACATCAACCAGGAGATCTTCCGCATGTTTCCCAAGGTGCTGCTTTGGGCAGGGGTGGTCTGGGGGGGACGAGGGAGCCAACCCAGCCGTAGCTCTTCGTGGCATGCCCATGTGGTTTTGTACGACCCACTCACCATCCTCTGGACTCAGTTGTCTTGGTCCTGGTTGAAGAGTTGTCTGAGGTGCAGTAGCCCACGCTCTGAGTTCCTTTGGGAGTTCTGCCTGGGAACTGGCTATGATTTGAGTGACTTTTGGCAAGAAAGTGGCTAGAAAATTCTGGGTATTGCCTTGCTTTCAGAGGATGTCCTGCAGATATGAAAGATGAATGACGACACATTCATCCCCCACCTGAGGGAGGCACAAGAACAAAAACACGTGCAGAGGTTGTGAGCACAAGAAAGCACAGCACAGAGCTAGATCTGCAAGATCAGCTCACTGGATGACCTTGGGCAGAGATTTTGTCTTTTAAAGCCTTAGTCTCCTTATCTGGGGTTTGGACTACGAATAGGTTTGACTGGTTATAACAGAACATCTAAAATATCAGTGACTTAGTCAAGATATATATATATATTTTCCTTTCACATAAAAGAACTCTGGAGGTAGGCTGTGCAGGGCTAGAACAGTGGATCCCTGGTCATGGAGGACCCCAGAATGAGTGAGCTGCAGACCTGAATGGTTCAGAGCACTGACCCTGGCCACTGAGGACTGCAGGATGAGTGAGCCGCAGACATGAACGGTTCAGATCACTGATGTCGTCTTGGTCCTTGCAATCACTCGGACTGACCCTTGGTGCAGACTCACTGCACTACTTTCAGAGAAGGGGCCCTGGAGCCTGCACTTCCAGCCAGTTCTGGCAATTACCCAGGTTTGGTGGTGTACGGACTCTGAAGAGGAGGAAGATTGCATGGGTGTGTTCATAACCACATCCAGGAGAGCTCTGGGCCCAGGGCAGCACTTAGTGAATGTAGTTTATAGAAATTCTGAGTAGGGGCATGTGGAGGTCTTTTTGAATGAAATCTGAAGGCCTTGTCTGCCTTGCTTCTTGGCTGATTGCTAATGACACAAAGCCCAGAGTTTCCTGCATTCTGTGTCTGGTACCAGAGTGTATAGGCAAGACTTGTACATTCTGAGGACGTGGAGGGGGAGCTGAAGGTGAAAGGTGTCAAATGTGTTCTCACCCACTGCGGCCCTCGGAGGATGGTGTTGAGCCATCTTTACAATGTGGGTTTTACAAGGCCTGGAACATGAGGCTGGTGACAGCAGGTGGACTTGTATCTAACGCAGGCTCTTCGGCATAGCAACTGCTTCTGATTGTCGGATACCTGACCCTGGGATGATTAGGGTGGTGGTGGGAGGGGTGAGCAGGCAGGATAGTAGCCTGTCAATGAGGGTATGGGCTCTGATTGGTTGGTTTTCACAGGAAAGGTGAGCTTGCAGGACAGTTGCTTGCTAACTAGGAATTAGCAAGGCACCAGGTGCCAGAGCATCAGGAATATAGAAAATAAGAAAATACCAGCTGGGCATGGTGGTAATGCCAGTGGGTGTAACACAGCTTAGTATGACATACAGATCCAAGTAGAGCCAGGGTGTGGACCACTGAGGCCCAGGGACAGACAGCAGGGCTCACCAAACTTTCTCCAGAAAGCGCCAGGCAGTAACGGTTTCAGGATTTGAAGTTCATATTCTCTCTGTCAGCACTACTCACCTCTGTCATTCTAGCACAAAAGCAGCCATAGGCATGAGTAAACAAATGAGAACGTCTGTACCAATAGCACTTTCAATCTTATTCGATGCTGGAATTGGAATTTTACATAGTTTTCACGTATCACAAAATAGTTTCTTCTTTGGGTTGTTTCCAACCATTTAAAAATATAAAATCCATTACTGGCTTGCAAGTTACACAAAAACAGACGGCAGGCCAGATGTGGCCCACAGGCTGTGTGCAGCTCGCTTGTCCCTGAATTAGAGCAGTGTGACGTAGAATAGCATTCCCTGCACTTCCCTAAATATGAGTATCTCTTTGTGTTTGTAAAAAATTCAGCTTCCCAGCCTCCTATCTGCGAGACTCTGATTCCATGGCGCTGGGATGGAGCCCAGAAATTTATATTTTCAGAAAGTAGCCCAGGTAGTTCTTAACTTAAAGTTTAGGAAACTCTCATATAGAACATAGTAAACTTTCGATGATTTTTCTGAAAATGACTGTTTCTTTCCCTTTCTCTGGTAAAAGTCTAATGGTGCCATTTACTCAGCCCCTGGGGGTGAGATGCCCTTGTTTTCCCTGTCTTGGCACACTGGGCCTGTCTGTCCAGGGAAAATGGACCATGAATAAGGACAGTCTCCCACAGAAGTCCCCCTTACATTAGGCTTATTCCTGATGGTCCCAGGGCAGCGTGATTCTCCACGAGACCCGCCTGGCTGCTGGTCCCACTCAGGCTGCAGGCCTAGCCTGTCTCATGCAAGGCTGCCAGCTGCTGTGTGCTAGGAGGAAAGCTGCCCAGCAGGCTCTGGGCATCAGAGATGGGGGTGACTTTTGCAGCCATCTAATAGTAACAAAACTCTTGACCCCTCTTCCCATCCATAAAGTGGAAAACAGCTTTCCTCCCACATTCTCCACAAGGCTGCCTCTTGGGGCCAGTAGCTAATAGGGGTGGGTATGCTTTGAGAGTTGCAGATTGAGGCGGGGGGTGGCTTGGCTCTGACAGCTGTGCCTGTGCCTCCCCCAGGACATGCCCTACTATCGGTCCCAGTTTAAGAAGTGTGCCGTGGTGGGCAACGGAGGCATCCTGAAGAACAGCCGCTGCGGGAGGGAGATCAACAGCGCCGACTTCGTCTTCAGGTAAAAGAAACCCTGGCTCTGCCCTTGCCAGTACCCCATGTCCCTCCTCCTCCATATTCTTCCCTGGGTGCCCTAATGCCACCCTTAAGCAATTAATCCCCACTCCCCACCCCTGCAGACCCTCAGCTCTTGGGTATCCCTTCCTCTCTGCAGCCCCATCCCTTTGGGAAAGCCGTTGAACTGCCAGGTCCTGTTTCCACATCTGCACAATGGGAGATGTGTCGAGAGCAAAGGGCATCACAGATTTGAAGGCACCGAGGACTCAGGAGCTTGCAGCCATGTCAGGAGGTCCTTTGGGCGCTGTCTCCTTGGGTGCTTCCCTTCCAGAAGCACTGGTTGGAACCAGGGCAACCTTGTGGCAGACACCAATATTGGCTTCACCCTGACTCCAACTAAGCCAGAGACTGGTCCTTGTACTTTTTTCTTATACTTCTTTAGCCACCTTCTTATCTCTTTGTGGATCTTCATTTATTTCTTTAGCTTGGGTGAAGAAGGTGGGTTGAAAATAAGAGCTTAGGCAGGGCACAGTGGCTCATGCCTGTAATCCTAGCACTTTGGGAGGCCGAGGCAGGTGGATCACCTGAGGTCGGGAGTTTGAGACCAGCCTGACCAATATGGTGAAACCCTGTCTCTACTAAAAATACAAAATTAGCTGGACGTGGTGGCATATGTTTGTAATTCCAGCTACTTAGGAGGCTGAGTCAGGAGAATCGCTTGAACCCAAGAGGCAGAGGTTGCAGTGAGCTGAGATTGGGTCATTGTACTCCAGCCTGGGCAATAAGAGCAAAACTCTCTCTCTCTCAAAAAAAAAAAAAAAAAAAAAAAAAAGGAAAAATGAAAAACAGCTTAAAGCAAAGAGACTTGGGTTGAGTCTGCAGTGGGTTGCATGAAGCATGGATTCACTCACAATCATCTGGCCTCTCAGTTGGTGTCAGGTTGGGAGGGTAGAGCAGGTTTGGTGTGACTTGAAGTCCTAAAATAAAGGCAGCTCCTGCATATTTTGGGTTCTTGGCTGTCCAACCCCAGACTCTGTCTCAAGAAGAAGGAAGCCTTGGACACCCTGCATCACCTGCTGTCACAGGCAGAGTGTGAGAGACACTCCTCTCTCTGTGATCTGGAGTCTGCCCGCATGCTCCCTGTGGATGCCTAGTCGAGTCTAACACTGAAGGTTAAGCTTCCTCCAATATGGAAATCTCTGGCCCTCACTGAATCCTTAACCATCCACATTCCTTCCAGGGGAGGCAGGGAAAGCCTCTTTCTTTCTTCCTTTTTTTTTTTTTTTTTTCTTGAGACAGAGTTTTGCTCTTGTTGCCCAGGCTGGAGTGCAATGGTGTGATCTCAGCTCATTGCAACCTCTGCCTCCCAGGTTCAAGCAATTCTCAGTAGCTGGGATTACAGACATGCGCCACCACACTGGCTAATTTTGTATTTCAGTAGAGATGGGGTTTTCCTTGTTGGTCAGGCTGGTCTCGAACTCCTGACCTCAGGTAATCCGCTCACCTTGGCCTCCCAAAATGCTGGGATTATAGATGTGAGCCACTGCACCCAGCCAGAAAGCCTCTTTCTTTCTTTTCTTTTTTTTTTTTAAACCTCACCTGTATAAACAAAGAAAGCCTCTTTCAAGATGGTCTTTTGGGGAGAAGCCCAGGTCTCTGGGGTCTCCCTGAACCTCGATCCAGGCTCCAGCATTGCTAGGCACATGACCTCAGGAATATCATCTCAGTCTTCTGGGCCTTGGTTTCTTCATCTGCAAAATGGGGATAAGGATAACAGGTCCCTCAGTTTTGGGATTCAGTGACTTAATGATTGTATAGCTCTTAGTACCTCCAGCACTGGACACACCATTAGAGCCCAGTTAATGCCAGCCACTGCCCTTCCAGGCCCCATTCTCTCTGCCTGAAATGCTCTCTCCCCAGCCCCCACATCCTGCTTTGCCAACTACCACTTGTCCCTCCAAGCTTAGCTCAAGAATCACCCAGTCCTTCCCTGGCTGTCCCCACTTGTACCCTTTTCTGGGCTCCCGTGTAACTTGGTGTCCACCTCTTATGTGGCCTTTAACACCCAGCCCTATAACCAGGGGCCAGCTGGGTGGTCTCACTCTTGCAGATTGGAAACACACAGAGAACTTCTATTTACAGTGACTGATGTAATTGGCACAACGTAACTACTTAGAAATTGAGTCTTAAATGAAAGAATGAAGGAGTGAATGAAAAAATGGACTTATGTGACGTTCAGGGCTAAGAAGTGGAGCATGTGGTGGTTATGTCCACAGGCTCTGAAGCTGGGCAGCCTGGTTTGAGTTAGAAAAAGCTGTGTTACTTTGCTTGAGTTACCTAACCACTCTGCCTGTATTCCCTAAATTGAAAAATGAGGATGATAATAGTACCTGCCCCTTGGGGTCAGTATGAGGAATAAATGAATTAATATGTGCAAAATCTTTAAACAATGTGGGATACATAATAAGTTTTATTATAAAAAATGATACTTTAAAATACTCCTCTCATTTTACAGATGAAAAACAATTTTTTGGAGGGGGATGGTATTCCTTGCCAGGATCATGGGGCTAGTCATAGTCAGAAATGGGAATGCAGTTCTGGTCTTGCATTCTTTCTGCGGTATCATATCATTTCCCTAGCTCAATAATATGATGGTAAACTTCTCCCTCTAAGGGGCCAGTCTCTTGTCCCACCACTTAAGATCTGTGAAGATCTGTGAGAGCATGCAGTTGTTTGAGCTAGTTTTGGAGATGCTGTGGGCCCTTCCATCCTCATCGTCATCATCGTCATCATCGTCATCGCAGTGCAGCAGCAGCAAAGGCTCGCTGGGTGCCTGTGTGTGTGCACACCAAGATGCCCCGAGACTCCATCCTGTTCTAGGCATGTCCGTACTGGATGCTATTGCATTGGGAACAAGACCTAGACTTGGAGTCAGACCCATCCTCCACCCTGCCTTGACCACCTAATAGAAGCAAGTCCCTTGACCTCTCTGAATGCCTGGTTTCCCATTTGCAACACAGGGAGCCTAGTATCTGCCACTCGAGGTTATTGATGTCTCCCATAATCCTATGAAAGTTCCTGGCATGTCACAGATGCTCAAAAAATGGTAATTGACTGCAGACAGCCCCCTCCCCAATCTTTAAGGAGAATATAAAACCTGCCTTTCATAGTGGTCTGATAGACAGGGGTGTGCTTGGATCATAAAGTAGGTGACAGTCCTAGTCCTGTTGTAAAGGGTTCTTCTGCACATTTATTCCTTAAACCCATGGCTTCCTCTTGATGAAGGGCCACATTCTCCACAAGGCCCACCATCCCTTACAGTCTGGCCCCTTCTTCCCTCTCGGCCCTCAGCTTGTACCACTCCCCGCTTGCCTGTGCTCTGGTCACTGGGCTGCAGTCACTCCTGGGTGCTTCCTGTTCTCATCTACTACAGGACCTTTGCACAGGATTCGTGTCTGGAATGTTCATGAGTTCCACATTTACCTAGTTAACATCTGCTTATTTCAGCATTTGTTATTCATTCACTCATTATGTAGTATTTGATGTGAAGAATATTTGTACCACATAAGTATGAAGCAAAACAATAAAATGAATATTTTTAAACCAACCACTTGATTTAAGAAGTTGAATGTTTGTATCAAGCCTTTGTATCAACTGGTGTGCTCCTTCCCATTCTACCTCTGTTTCACCCTAAAGGTATTGCCACCCTGAATTTAGTAATCATTCTCTCATTGTTAAAAATTGTTGTGTCACATGTGGATGTACCCCTGAACAATGTATTGTTAAACCATGCTTGTTTGGGGCTGTATTCATTTCCTATAGCTGCTATAAAAAATTACCACCAAGTTAGTAGCTTAGAACAACACAGATTTTGTTATCTTACAGTCTTGGGGGTCAGAAGCCTCACTGGACTAAAATCAAGATGTCTGCAGAACTGCATTCCCTTCTGGAGGCTCCCAGGGAGAATTCGTTTCCTTTTTCAGCTCCTAGAAGCTCCCGGCATTCCTTGGCTCATGGCAATGCCCACAGTGGAGCATCTTCCAGTCTCTTTCTGTGACTCCAATTCTGTTGCCACATATTTTCTTCTCTCTCCTTGGTTGTCACATTACCTCTTATAAAGACCCTTGTGATGACATTGGACTCCCCCAGATAACTCAGGGCAATGGCTCCATCTCAAGAGCCTTAATCGCAGCTGCAGAGTCCCTTCTGCCACATAAGGCTGCATAGTCACAGGCTCCAGGGATTAAGATGTGGACATCTTTGGGGGCTGTTACTCTTCCTACTATGGGGCTTTCTACAAATGGCGGCAACTTGCTTTTGCACACAATATGTGTTGCATTTCTAAGATGTATCTTTGAACATATCCCATGTTTATTTAGCCCTTCTCCTGCCACAGGACTTGTGCTCACTTCCTCCTTCAGACCTCAGCTCAAGCATTGCTTCCTCGGGGAAGTCTTGATTCTCTAGAAAAGGAGATGCTCCCCTGCCACCTGTCCTCTGAGAGCCATAATCCCATCTTCCAGAGGTCCAGGGACTACCCAGCCTGTAACTGCATTTTACAACTAGTGGTTTCTCTGCCCCATTTGTCTGGAACTTCAGCCAAGCCTGTTGGCTGTCCCAGTGCCTGCCATGGAGCAGATGGACCACTGTCTTATCACCTGGCCACAGAGAACCTGCCAGGCTGGCTGTCGTTGCATCTGGCTGCCCCCATGATCACCATCACTTCCTTCCCCAGCTTGACCTATTGAATGACTGGCCACCCGTGCTCGGGCTGCCTTTTCTCTTCTGCAGGTGCAACCTGCCCCCCATCTCAGAGAAGTACACCATGGACGTGGGGGTGAAGACGGACGTGGTCACTGTGAACCCCAGCATCATCACAGAGAGGTCAGTGGCCTCTTTCTAGAATGGCACTGTGCAAAACAATAGCCAATAGTCACATGGGGCTACTGGGCACTGGCAGTGTGGTTAGTCCAGGCGGAGATGTGCTGGCTGTGAGTGTAAACACACACTGGGGTTCAAAGACTTAAATACGAAGCACAGGATAACTTTTTATATTAATTACATGTTGAATTAATGGTATTTTCAAAATAGTGAGTTAAAGAAAATAGAAAAACTGCACCCATTTCTACTGTTTCACATGTGCTTACTTGTGAACATTGGACATTCCCTGTGTGGCCTGCATTATTTCTTTTGGATGGTGCTGGTCTATACTACCTTCACCTAGAGATGGGTGGGACCGCTTTCCAGGGGTGACCAGGGCAGGCAGCTTTCTACCTGGCTGTGTCCAGGTGGTACTGGGGAGAAGCTCACACTGAGATCTCAGCTCCCCTCCTGGATCCCCTGCTGGGGTTCATCTGGAAGGTTTTAGGGGAAGTATTAAAACCCTAGCCCTGGGTATAGTCACACCAACCAGATCAGAGGACATGTAAGAGGAGGGGACAGTGGGAGATGAGAGGAGAGGAGTCATTGAATTGGATTAGATGCCCAGGGAACAGCTATTTAAGGGGACATCTGTTCGTTTGGATCCTGACTGCCCTCTCCTGCACTCACTTACAAAAACTCAGTTGCCCCTGAGAAAGGCCTCACCTTCATCTGCCCAGGTACATGAGGTGTGAGGAGGGAGGCGGGCTTACGAGTCCCTCTGTCCTTTGCAAAGCCCCAGGGTGCACGGGTGGGAAAGCGAGGGTCCTGGGAGCACGAAGAAGTGGGCACTCACCTCTCACGCGAACCCTGCGCAGGTTCCACAAGCTGGAGAAGTGGCGGCGGCCGTTCTACCGCGTGCTGCAGGTGTACGAGAATGCGTCGGTGCTGCTGCCGGCCTTCTACAATACGCGCAACACCGACGTGTCCATCCGCGTCAAGTACGTGCTGGACGACTTCGAGTCCCCGCAGGCCGTCTACTACTTCCATCCGCAGTACCTGGTCAACGTGTCGCGCTACTGGCTCAGCTTGGGGGTGCGTGCCAAGCGCATCAGCACCGGCCTCATCCTGGCCACCGCGGCGCTGGAGCTCTGCGAGGAGGTGCACCTGTTTGGCTTCTGGGCCTTTCCCATGAACCCCTCGGGCCTCTACATCACCCACCACTACTATGACAATGTCAAGCCGCGTCCCGGCTTCCATGCCATGCCCTCCGAGATTTTCAACTTCCTGCACCTGCACAGCCGAGGCATCCTTCGCGTGCACACGGGCACCTGCAGCTGCTGTTGATGGCGGCCTGCCAGGCTGCCCAGCAAGTGGCACATCCTCTCCTGCTGTCCCTCCTCGTGGAATTCGGAGCCCCGAGCTCAGCAGTGTGGGGCCCTGGCATTCAGGCTGTCACTTTCTCCATAGTTCAGCTTTGTACTTGGATCCTGGGGCGGGGAGGCAGGGTTAGGTACTGAGGCAGAGTCAGCTCTCAGCCTCCTGGCCTGGCCCCCAAGGGTGCCTCCACCCAGTGCCTCCACCTGACCTGGCTAGCATGCTGCTGGGCCACACCCCAAGATCAGGGACCCTGGGGACTGCAAGTGAATCAAGCACATTTCCACTAACTTTTGCCATCCGAGAGAGAGCACAAACTGCAGGCCCCTGTTGCAGTGGAAGGAAGGCCCTACAGAGAATGGAATTGAGGGAGGAGACAGGACATTTCACAGGACACTTGAGCAGTCGAGATTTTATTAACACTTTTGGTTCCTGAGTTTTATATCAAAGACTTAGCTATGAACTTCTATCTAAATCTCAGAGCTTAGAGGCCAACGTAGTGACTAGACCTTCCAGTGAAGAAAGCCTATCTCAAGAGGTCCAGTGACTTACCAGCCAAGCCACCCCACCCGACAGGTTCTTCCATGACACCAAGAGACCTAATACAAGGCAAGGCCTGTGTCATGTCTTAGCTGAGACGTCATCATCTGAGAAGCGCCACACCACCCTTTCAAACACATCCTTGGACACACACGCAGTTTCGGTGCCTCCAGGTTCAATCCTGCGTTAACTCTTTTGATGAGAAGGAAATAAACCAGACCAGCCACTTGCACTATGGCTTCCAAGCCAATGTTATTGACTCAATAAGTGCTTAGCAATCGGCTTCCTCTTCTGTCTCCCTATTTTCAGCTCCATTTAAACCAGGAGTTATTTATAAAGACCTCTTCCTCTCATGTCTCTGAATCCTGCAGAATCCTGCTGTATCGTGTTCCTCAGTTGGTACTGTAGGCTCTGGACTGGAAAGCACTGACATGTGAGGTGGTGAGCTTAGCAGAGAGAAGCGAATTGTGGCCTCCGACACCAGCATCACTGAGGTTTCTGCTGTGAAGGCGGGACTTCCCACAGCGGACCCCGAGGCCTGGGCTTTCTGCAGTCAGCTGGGCTTAGGCAGAGGGGTTCACATGTCATTTCTCATCTGACATTAATTCCCTTTGCTTCTCCCTGTGGTGTTTCCACCATAAATGGGACTGTGTCTAAGAGACACTGTTGGTGAACTGCCTTAGAACTTAGCTTTCTGGAATCATAGGATGTTAGTGCTGGGAGGAGGACTTCAGCCTACCTGCCTGGCAACCTGCCTCCCTCCCTCCTTCCCTTCCTTCCACCTTTCTTCCTTCCCTTAAACATTTCTGCAAAGCCTATTCTGCTTTGGTCTGTGGTTGGATTTAGAAAGACATGAGGATAAACAAAGGGATTATCTGTGTCTTCTGGGGGTACAGGGCCAAGAGATACGTGCTGAGTGCTCTGGGAGGGTGAGGAGCTGTGAGAATATGGCAAGGAGTGGAACCTGCCATCCCATTACCTCATTTGACAGGCCCTCAGGCCAAGCCAGTCAGGGACAGAGGAGAGCACAAGCTTTGTCCCAGGCCTCGGCTCCTGATCCAGGGCTCTGTTCTTTTCCAAACCTTTCTGTCTTGGCTTGTGCTTCCTGTGGGTGGGTTGTTGTGGAGCCTGTGCCTCGTACACAACACTATTCTTGATGCTGACTCTCACCTGCAGTTTGAGCTCTGGTCCTGGTTGGGAAAACCTCAGGCAGCTCCAAGCCTCAGTCTGCTGGTCAGGAATGTGGGGGAGTAGCCAAGGGGATGAAATCAGCCCAAACGCCCGCTAAACCAGGAAGAACTGCAAAAGGCAGCGGATGCTTATTACTTTTTTGAGCTCTGCCTATTTCTCCTAGGGAAGGAACTTCTGGGAAAGATTCCAGTTAACTGAGACTTCTAGCCACTGCATGGTTAATTGAACCCAGTTTTTGAAACCATGGAATGTAAAAACTGGAAGGTTCTTAAGGACCATTTTGTCCCACTTAAGGAAACAGGCCCAGAGCAGAGACATGACCTGGGTCAAATCCTGCCTGAGGCTCTGCTGAGTGCCTGCTATGGACAGAGGCCTCTACTGGCAGCCCTGTGGTTACTGCTTACGTTGCACATGGGCAGTGTTTGGGGGAGGTGCGTTGGTGACACAGGCATCAGGGTTCCCGCAGCTGAGGGTGTTCCAGGCTGGAATCTGCCCCAGCCAGGGCCCCTGTAGGAGCTGGGGATTGGAGCATCGGGGTCCAGCCCACAGAGGAGTTGGGACACCTGGCTGCTGGCAATATTCCTGCCTGTGGGTCTTAGGGCCAGTCCTCCCTTTCCCTCAATGTCTCAGTTTCCTCATCTCTACAACTACAAGCTTTGTAAAAATCTTTAGGGTCTGTACAATCTCCTTATTTTGAGGGGACTTTCATGATGAATGGATCTAAGCCATAAGTAGTATTTCTTATTATAATAGCTAGCATTTACCATGCTCTCATTCTGTGCCAGGCCTTACGTTAGCACTTTCCCTATATTATCGCCTGTCATCATCATGAGACCCCCTTGGGTAAGGAGCCTCCCATCGTACAGATAAGAAGACTGAGGCTCAGAGCAACTCAGGGACTTGCCCTTGGTCAGGCATCTAATGGAGGGAACTGCACCCAGATCTGTAGAGCCCCTAAGTCTGTGCTCCAAACCTCTGTCTTAGCTTCCCAGGCAGACATCAGAACAAGAGGGGTCCTGACCAAGATGCCCCTGCAGGATGGTATGGGACCCAGCTCGAGGGACAGCTGCTCTGGGGGGCTGTCATCGTCCGGGACATGTCTGGACGGTACCTTGTAGGTACCTCTCCCTAACCCTGCCCCCTGCAGCAGTAGCAACTTACCCGCAGTGGCATTAGAGGGGAACTGAGGCCATCTTCACATTTTGAAGGTGAGGAGAGATGCCCAGCAACAGCACATGTTAAGTGACAACACGAATGACTTACCCAGGGCTACATGGCCAGCGTGTGGCTCAACCGGGACTCACCAGTCTCCTGACTTTCAGGCTACAGTCTTTCCCCTGCAGCCAGTGTTTATAAGAAAAACATTTTTTTCAAAGGCTCAGAGAGACCTGGTGTTGACTCTGGAAGCCCTCTGCCATGTTTCTCCACAGCCCTGTCACCACCCCACCATGCAGTGCAGACTATCCATTAAATTATTATTTAAGGGAAATCGATTCCCCATAAACAAAACTATGATCATGTCTTCCTTTGTGCTAAACCCACGGCTCCAGGCTTGAAAGGCAGCAAAAACAAGTAAATGACTCAGCGCTTAGCCAAGCACAGAGAAAGGTGGCTCAAGGTCAGCAGTAGCCTCTGAGATTGTTTCAGCAACGCTACTGTGGCAGCTCTGCCCACTAATCACCTGGTGCTCAGAGACAGCATGTGCTCATCACCCTTGACTTTGCTGAGAGGGGGAGGAAGCAGAGCAGTGCCTGGGAACAGCTGAGGCAGAGTAGAGTGCTGGCTTCAGATGGCCATTCACTGATTCAGTGAGTGAACTGGTGAATAAATTATATTTATTGAGTGCTCATGTTGTGCCAGGCATGGTGCTAGGTGCTGGGGAACTAGTGATGAAACGTAGTCTCTGCCCTCTGGGGGTTTGTGCTCTGCTGTATGTGTGTGTGCAGATGGCAAATGAAGAATCCCACAAACATACATGGGAGCTGGTTGTGCTGAACACTGTCGAATCCAGGCTCAGGACAGGAGGAGATGACCAGAGTTGATTCTGAATTCTGAAGGTTGCCAGTGTAAAACGTGTAACCAGCAAAGTAGTGGATACTTCTCAGATAACCCCCCTGACATCCGTGTAACATTTGATACGGTTGGCCTCTCTGTTCTTTTTTGTTTGTTTGAGATAGAGTCTCACTCTGTCACCCAGGCTGGAATGCGGTAATGTAAACATGGATCACTGTAGCCTCGACACCTGGGCTCAAGCGATCCTCCCACCTCAGCCTCCCAAGTAGCCAGGACCACATACATGTGCCATTATTCCCAGCTAATTAAAAAAATATATATTTTTTTTGTAGAAATGCTATGTTGACCAGGCTAGTCTTGAACTCCTGGGCTCAAGCAATCCTCCTGCCTTGGCCTCCCAAAGTGCTGGGATTACAGGTGTGAGCCACTGTGCCCAGTCTCTCTGGTCTTTCTAAAGTCTTCTCCTCTTCTGTTTTCTAACTATTCTTCCCTGACTTTCCTCCTGTTTGTCTGAATGCTTCTTCTCAGGTTCCTTTGTTGATTCATTTTCCATGAAGCTTCCTCAGGGTTCTCTTCTCTTCCTAGGAGCGTTCCTGCAGAAATCTTATCTATTCACTGCCTTAAGTATCTCTTGCCCTGGCATCTTAACCCCTCTACCTGCATTCTCCCTAGGAGCATTGGAAGCATGCTCACTGCGGCCTCCTGAATATCTGTGTCTGTACAGCATCTCAAACCTCAACATGTCCTCAACTGGTCTAGTTATAAGAGCAATCAGAACTCAGAGTCTCCTCCTACTACTTCGTAGCTGTTTGGAGTTCCTGATGCCCCTGGAGGCTCTGAACTCATCATCTGAAATAAGGACAGGCCACCAGCCTCAACAGCTGTTGCAAAGCTAAATGAAATAGTGTTGCATGATGCCTAGCACAGTGCCCTGCACAAACTAGACACTAGCAAGCACAGGCTGCCTCAGCCCCAAACTTGGATCATCCTTGCCTCTTCGTTCTCCTTTATTCTTTATGTCTATTTGTTCATCATATCTTGTTAATTCCACTCATAAACATCCCTTTAATTCATTCCCGCCCTGCATGCCCTCTGTCACTGCCCTAACCCAGACCCTTCTGACTGATCTTTCTGCTTTTAGATAATTACCTTCCAGAAATACCTTTTGTGGGGCCCATTGGCTCCCTGTACCATAAATTTCAGGTTCTTTACCAAATCTTGCAGGCAATGCCCCAAGCTGGCTTACTTCCCTTCCTGGAGATCCTTCTGCCATTTCTCTGCCCCACCCCGTACTATTGTAGGTGCCTTCGCACATGCTGTTCAGACACCTGGAATGGCCCTCACACTCCCAAGCTCCTCTCTCCTTCCTTTTATCTGGCCACTTTTGCAGAAGTCAGGTAATGGCCCCCTGCATCCTCCCCTCTAGAGACCTGGGCTGGGCACTGTCTCCTCTGTGCTGCTGCTGCAGCCATCACCGACTCCATTAGGACATCCTCCCGGCGCAAAGCATAAGGGCCCTGGTGTCCTTGATAGAAGGTCTGTCTTCTCCCCAAGGGAAGACATGATATCTAAGCTCATTTTGTACTGCCAGCACTGGCAGAAAACCACATGCTGTGGCCACTCAACATGTGTTTACTACAGTAATGAGGTCTCTGGGTCCTGGTGGGCGCCAGCAGTTCAGGAGACCCTGATAATAAACCAAGTAACACCTTCAGCTGAGGAGAGTCCTCTATTGATTTTTTTTTACCTAGCACATTCCAGGAAGGCAAAGACTCTTCCTGCCTGTCCAGGGGAGCTCAGGGCTCAGGAGGCTGAAATGTGTGTCTAATGGGGGCTTGTTGGCTTGGCTAGCCTCCTTTTGTTTTCCCTCATTATAATCTTGCTCATCTGCTTTTTGCTGGCTAACCAATCCTTTTTCTTCTAGTTTAAATGAAAGAAGGGAAAGACAGTTTCTATGTTTCTTCTTCTCTACTTCTTCCCTTCCTCAAAGCCACACAAACGTGTCAGGATCTTTCATTGCTGTGGCTGAGGCACAGCCTGGGAAGCAGTGTACAAGTGATTTGTCAATGGTGTTTCAAAAGCTAGAGGAACATGCAGAATGCTTTGGCTGGGAAACAGGTGAGCTGAGTTTTGCAGGATGTCTGCTCTGGATGCCCAGGAGGAGGCCAGGAGCAGAGGTTGTTTCCTTGGGGAGAAAAGGTGCTGCTGCTCTGAGCTCAACACATGCCCTGACCTAGTCTCCTACCTGTAACCAGGGCACCCTCTGGGAAGAGGCTAACTGTAGCTCAGGGGTCAAGTGAGGCCAGGTGAGGGGTACACTGGTGGCTAGGGTGTGCATTGTGCTATTCTTTAGAGGTCTAGTCAAACGAGGCCAATCTCTGGAGGCTGTTTACACCCTACAGGGCATCCTAATAAACCCATGTGATCTTCAAAAGGGAGACGGAACAGATCTACAGTCTCCTCTCTGCAGGTCACATGGGTTTATTAGGATGCCCTGTAGGATGGCCTTCTGGTGGCCTGCATCAGAATCACCTGGGTGCTTGTTAAAACTATGGGCTGAGAACCTGGGGGAGAGGTGGTGTCTGGGAATCAGCATGTGTGAGGCCCCTATCTGTTCCTGAGCATACAACTGCTTGTGGCTCAGAAGTTGCCACCAGTTGAGTGGCCACGTATGGCTTGAAAATCAGACTGGAGCCTTGAGTAGGAAAAGAATGAAAAGAAAAATTTGGCATACAACCCAACTTCTGCCTTTCCTATACATACAAATATGATATATAACCTGTTATGAACCTAGTAACAAAAATCAAGTGCTCAGGACTCCGTAAGATTTACAAAACTGGTTTTGCTTTAACACGAACAAAGATTTCTTTTTCATTTGTAATTATGGTAAAGTACACATAACATAAAATTTACCATCTTGACCATTTTTAAGTGTACAGTTCAGTAATGTTAAGCACATTCCATTGTTGAATATTCTGTCTCTGGAAACCTTCTCATCTTGCAAAACAAAACCTTCAAACCCATGAAATGACAGTCTTCACTTCCCCCTTCCCCAGGCCCTAGCAACTGCCGTTCTACTTTCTCTCTTTATGAATTGTACAGCTCTGGGTCCCTCAGATTAGTGGAATAGTATATTGTTTGTCTTTTTGATGACTGGCTTATTTCACGTAGCATAGTATAGCAATGACTTCTTAAGTATGAAGAATCACATAGGTACAAGCAGCTCTCAGATGACAGTAACTATTTTGAGTGTCCCTAAAGCAAAAATTTTGTTTTTGTTTTTATTTTTCCCTTTGGCAGTTGTTCTGGGCAGGTGGTCAGCTCCTGGCTTCCTGAGATCTTGGCTCCCTTACTGAGAGGGAGTGAAGACCTGGCCTTGCTCTGCCACCTGGTCCCCATTGTCCCGGCCAGCATGTCCTGAGAAAAAAGAGCCTTGCTGATCTTTTAGAAGTCTTTAGATTTTTCCCCTGCCCTGTCTCTTCTGAGAACATTTTTTTCTTTATTTCCAAGGAAAAAGAAAATAAAAGAAAACAAAACAAAACACATACACTTCCATGACTTAGCTGTTGGCCACAAAAGCCAGAAACCAGTGACTCTCTCTTCAGTCGGGAAATGGTTCCCCTGGCAACAAATCTCTCATTTCCTTCAACTAAATTATCTGCTCAGCTTTGCGGTAAAAGTTTTGTTTTCTCTAGAATTGCCATTTGCAACCTTGCATGCACATAGGAATCACCTGGAAGTCTTTATAAAATAATCCCCGAGCCATGTCCTCACCTTCCCAGAATCTGACTCAGCAGGCCTGGGGATAGGGCCTGGCTGGCATCCTTATTTTCTAAGATCTCACTAAGTGGGTCTCTCTTACACGGTTGGGAATCATTACCCTAAGGCAGGCGGTTTTTGCCTTGGTGTACGTTGTAGTTCTCTGAAGGGCTTTAAGAAATACTCATGGGACTCCACCCCTGGACGTTCTGAGTCAGGTGGTCTGAGATGTGACCTGAGTATTAGGGTTTCACAAATTCTCCAGATGTTTCTAATATGCAGCCAGCCTTGAGAACCACTATTCTAAGTCAGCAGTTCTCAAATTGGAGCTCATTGATTATGGGCCCTACCTCAGAGTCTCATTTGATGAGGCCAGGGTGGAGCCTCTCTAACAAGTTCCCAAGTGATGCTGATGACAGTCCGGGGACTGCACTTGGAGGCTCCTGGCTCTGACGATCCTTTAACTAGATTGGCCCTGTTCTGCTGCCCTGTTCTTTTTCCTGGTTGGGGGTTGGTGGACCCTTCCTTCTCCCAGTCTGATTCAAGCCTGAGACTCTTAAAGGTACCAGTTTTTCTTTATTTGAACATTTTAACATTTAGATAAATATGATGAAATATTGTTAAAGCAGTCACATAGATTTCTTCTCCCAGGGCTAGAAGCCTCAGATTATGCCTCAATTAAGAGTTTATCTGTGCCTATGATTAGGACACATTTTGTGATCTGAGCGAAGGGGTTGGTGGGGCTGGAGTAATGGGTTCAGCCTGTGTCTGGGTGAGGGTCACCTTGTGACTGGTTCTGGGTAGGATCTGAGTGCCACACTTGGCCCTCTAGCGTGGGGAGAACCTGTCTGGCCTACCTGTGTGAAAACCTGGCTTTCTGATGCAGGCCCAGCCCTCTGCCCACCTCCACATCTGTGCACAAACACAGAAGGTGGCGCTGAGGAAACACAGCACTGCACCAGGACTGCCGTGAGCTCAGGGGCTAGGGTTCACGTCTCACTTCTTTCTGCATTTCCTTTTTTATCATACTTTGGAACAGGCTTGAGCTGAAACCAGAGAGTGAGTACCGGTTTCTGCCTCAATCTATTCTCCCTCCTCCAAAGATGCCCCCAGCAACGGGGGCGACTTCAACTCCCACTGACAGCTCAGATTTCCACACACAGCCACAAAGTTGATAAGAACTTCTGAAGATCTCAAAAACTTATTAAAGGTGGAAACAGTTACTGATTTACTGAAGCAGGGTGAAAACACAACTCACTTCCTAGGATTGAACCCAAAAAATTCACTCAGCTCCCAGGTATCCGAGGACTCAGTTGAAGGAAAATAATTTGGAGCCCCTGAAATAGATGCTATAAAGCTGTGTATCAAAGGCCAACCGTTTTGCTAACATCATATATCCCGTGGCATTCACTTTGATTTCAAATTTAGCTCTAGTGAACTTGGTTGGTTTCTAGTAACAAAGGAAACTAAGAGAATGTTGGTAGGTGCTAGATAAAGCAAGAAGTGGCAGCTAATAGCCTAAATTGTGACGACATTAAGAAGACCAAAACTGGTTTACTTGTTCAACGAGTTTGTATTTAAAAAAAAAAAAACTATATTAAGGATAAGAAAATATGGCCGGGCATGGTGGCTAACATCTGTAATCCCAGCATTTTGGGAGGCTGAGGTGGGAGATCACTTGAGCTCAGGAGCTGATGACCAGCCCGGGCAACATGGCGAAACCCCGTCTCAACAAAGAATACAAAAGCATGTCTGTAGTCAGTCCCAGCTACTCAAGAGGCTGAGGTGGGAGACTGGCTTGAGCCCAGGAGGCAGTGGGTGCCGTGAGCTGAGATCACACTGCTGCACTCCAGCCTGGGTGACAGAGCCAGATCCTGTCTCAAAATAATGATTAAAAAAGACCAAAACTAAATACATATCTTAGAAACCATCAAGTAGCCTGAGGTCATTGGTCATTTAGTGGGGAGGAGAGGGAGAATATGTTGTAATAATCCCAAGAGCCACACGGTTGCTCGATTTACCCTGTGCCACCCAGGACATGCAGAGATACAAAAACATTCCAGCAGTGTTCAGTACGTTGTCTAAGAAGGCAGGGAGGCATTTTATCCACGTTAGAATTATTTCCATCCCCAAACACTTAAAATGCATTCACAAAAGTCTTGGTGCTTCAAAGACAAACTCTCAGTGACCCTGAAGCTCACGTAAATGAAACAGTTCGTGATCTAATGATGCAGGGTAGGTGAGATGGGTAAACGCACTCTTTATAACTTAACGTTTTCTCCCTGACATTGAAGACTCTCCTGCTACCTCTCTCCTAAGAAAACAGGACAGTGGCGAGGGCGGGTCGGGGGGGGGGGCACAAGTCCCTTCCACCTCCAAGGGACTTTGCAACCTGGGTAGTGGTGTGGCTGGTCATCCTCTTTCTGCACCTCAGATTCTGCTTGTGTTGTCCTTATTGTGTGGGACAGGAAGGTCAGCTAGGGCTGTGCTGGCTCTGCAGTGACTCTGGCCTGGGTGCATTTTGGTGAATTTAAGAATATGACCATTTTTGGGGCGGAAATTCACACTTCTACTCTCTCCACACCTTCACCATCCATTTTCTTGCTGGACTTTGCTGTACTCCTGTGAGGAGGACAGGGCAGAGAGTAGCAGCCCTCCTTGCCGAGGCCCAGAAAGATAGCATGGTGTGCCCAGAGCTCCCGTGGTGGGTGGCGGATGTCTCCCGTTGGGTGCCCAGGGCACCCGTGGGCACTTTTTTCTCCCCTCTGAAGTTGTTAGGCTGATTTGGAGTCTGCTCCAGGCCTGAGCTTCACCCTGGCCTCATGCCCTGTCCAGTGCCTGAGTGGAGGGGCCTCTTCCATATTTATTCCTCTTTGAGGGGCCAAGCTCAGGGCACCCAGAACAAGCAGCCTTGGGGGACTGAACCTAGTGGGACAGAAGGGAGGCAGTTGTATCTGGCAGAGTCACCCAAGGCCACAGGCCTGACCAAAGCAGGAGAGTGGGCGAATTGGGGGCAGGGCCCATGGTGCTGGCCCCCTGCTGCTCCAACCATGTAAGAGGCATCTGGGGGGCTCCCAAGTTGCAGCTCCTGCCAGCCTCTCCCCAGGCTCCTGAGTCTGTTCTCCTGTACACGCCTCCAGTGGGACATCAGGCCCTCACTGAGGCTAGCTTCTGGGCAAGTCCCTCTGCTCAAGGTCACTTTGTGGGGTAGCTGGTCTCCCCAGGGGCTCCCACACTCTGCACAATTTAGGGATGTGGCAGGGACTCAGTGGCCTGCAACTTCCCTTTCTGGACCCAGCTAGCCTCCCATCAGAGCGCCAGAACTCTTCTTCAATACAGTATTGTTTGAACTTTGAAATATATGCATATGTCTAGTATTTTCTTAGAAATTAACACTTCATCTCAATAGGCATGAATGGATTATTCAGTAGTACAGTTTGGAGCCAATACCCTGCCACCTCCCCACCAGATAAAGCCAGGACAGATGCTGGAGTCAGCAGGGGAGCTGTGGAAACAGGTGCCCGTGGCTGGAGCCAGGTGCCGATGGCTGCACCTGGTGTGTGGCTTCAGCCCAGGCTTGGTGTCAGTTTCCTGGCTGCCCTGCCCAGGAGCCCACATGAAGGCAGGCTGGGTCTTTCCCTAAGAGGTTGGTACATCGGCTCATTTTGGAGCGGCCTCCTGTGGGTGAAGAAAAAGCGGCCACATGGCATTCCTCTGTTCCTCGGTCCCCTTCTCTCCCTTGCTTTTCTCTCAAAGAGCCAAGTCACACTGCACCATGCTCCATGGAGCCTTCCCTGATGGAGAAGAGAAGGGAGGCCGAGATGTCCTTTGCTGGAGTGTGGAGAAGCACCATCTATATGAAAAGCCCCTTGCTTGCTCTGTTGATTTTCTCCCTCCCCTGGCCCTGGAGAGAAAGGCTGTGCCATTCAAAGACAGTATGGGGACATGGGGCTGCAGGCCTGATGTTATTTTTATGCAAATTTTATTCTGGGAGCAGCGGTTCATACAAACTCCTGCAGCATAATTCTAGCTTGTGTGTGGCTGTCCTTGAGTAGTGGTTCTGAAGTGGGCTGTGATGCTATTCATAAAAACATAATCAGGGTACTTTGTATCTGCCACTGTGTTTCAAAGGCCCTCAGTTTCTATCTAATAAAACCAGTCAAATGGTTCATCTAGCAAAGACTCTTTGGCTATAGCTCTGTGTGTGTGTGTGTGGGGGGGGGGGGTTTCTGGGGATTGGGCTGCAGGGGGCTGACAGCAGCACAGCCCACTGTGGGGAACTGCCAGGTATTGTGAAGAGCCCATGGCCACCCTGGGCGCACCTTTGGGCAGTGTCGGGGGAACTCGAGAATCAGGAGACCTGTGGGTGGCTGGCAGGAGTAGCCATCTGAACCAGGGAGTAGGTGGGCTCACGGGAGAGGCTCAGAGCCCAGATTAGGATCCAGTTGGTGGCATGCTGAATCGACAGTGTATGAAGGTGTACAACGACATGGAGAGGGGACTCTGGAGGAGGGAGGGCCCCTGAGGGCTGGAGCTGCCTGGGGAAGGTAGGTTTGAGATGCACTTGTTACTGGAAGCAGAAGATCCCATGGCTATGCAGACTTGACTTTCTCGAAGCAAGCGGCTCTGTCAAGGTCAAAGTCACACTGAGGGCATCTGAGCACTAATTACCCATTTGTAATTTGTAAGGAAAAAAACTTCGCTCAATACCAATCTCCTTGAGTATGTTTAAGACAGAATTATATCAAAAGTTTTTTGCATCTATGCACAAAATGCCTGGCTTGAGCCTGTTTGCCCCATGCGATGTAGTTAACATTGCTTGGAGTTCCCAGCTCTGCATTTTGGAAAAGCCCAAAGCCTTCCCCATGATTTCTGCAAACTCCCAGGGGCCGGTGCTTCCATGACCCCACTGCCTTCAGACTGCTGCTTTTGGGCATGTTTCTGCATTGTATTTATTGATTATCCAGATATTAGATGCAACCCTTTCCTTGATATCTGTGATTGTGTAGTGTGTCTGAGAGTGTGGTGGGAAGCAGTGGGAAAGGGATTGAGGCCACTTCAAACATCCTGAAAAGGAGACGGCCCAGCTGCTGGCTGAGTTTCCAGTGTGGACACTCCTTTTCACTCTGGCCTTAGCCTAACTCTCTGGCCTCTCTCTTCCACCTCTTCCCTCTTGGCCTTCTTTTTCTCATCTCTCCATCTCCCCATTTCTCTTTGGAGCTGTTGAATCATTCTCTGTTTTCTTGGACTCCTGCTGAGCCTGGGTCTCCACTCACCTTCTACCTCCCAAAGATATTTTCTCAAAGAGGACAATTTCCTCTCTAAGATGAATTTTGGAGACAGCTGTAAGATGTTTCAATGCTTCCTTATGACAATTGTAAAATGTCAGATACTCAAGCAAACAATAATGGAACATAAGGATACTATTGGAGGTCATCCCTAAGACTGCGCATTGCCCTTTTTTTTTTTTGAGATAGGGTCTTGCTCTGATATTGAGTCTGGAGGGCAGTGGCACTATCTTGGTTCACTGCAACCTCTACCTCCTGGGCTCAGGTGATCCTCCCACCTCAGCTTCCTGAGTAACTGAGACAATGGGTGTGCTAATACCCAGCTAATTTTTATATTTTATTAGAGAGGAGATTTTGCCATGTTGCCCAGGCTGGTCTCAAACTCTTGGGCTCAAGCGATTCTTCCACCTTGGCCTCCTAAAGTGCTGGGATTATAGGTGTGAGCCACTGTGCCTGGCCTGTCTTCTGTATATCATAGTAAGAAAAAGAGCTGACAAACAGGGAAATGGAATTTCAATAAGTATTCTTTTTTTGAGACGGAGTTTCACTCTTGTTACCCAGGCTGGAGTGCAATGGCGCAATCTCGGCTCACCACAACCTCCGCCTCCTAGGTTCAGGCAATTCTCCTGCCTCAGCCTCCTGAGCAGCTGGGATTACAGGCACGCGCCACCGTGCCCAGCTAATTTTTTGTATTTTTAGTAGAGACGGGGTTTCACCATATTGACCAGGATGGTCTTGATCTCTTGATCTCGTGATCCACCCACCTTGGCCTCCCAAAGTGCTGGGATTACAGGCATGAACCACTGCGCCCGGCCCAATAAATATTCTTGAATGAATGAATGTATGAACAAGCTGAAGATTAAAGGTTATTATAGTTTATTTAATAAATATTATTTATTAAATATTATAGTTTATTCAATATTATTGAATGCATACTATTTGTCACTTCATTCATCATTCAACAAATATTTTGAACCCCTGCTTTAGGCCAAGCTACTTGAGTATTTGAGAACACAAGAGCATGCAAATGCACATTCAATCACTGCATTCATGGAACATAGTGTCTGGCCAGAGAAATACAGGTAATAAACAACCTCACTGCTAAATGTTTCATTATAAACCATACTACAAAGGAACATGCAAGTGCTATGAGAGGCTCAGACAGGTAGCCCCGGAGTGAGAATGAGCACCAAAGCGGGCTCCCCAGGAGAGGCAGGGTTACCTAGTGGAATTGTGGAGGATACAGTTCCAGATGGGAGAGAGCTTGGGACCCTCACGGAAGGCCAGCATGCTACTTCCCGGAAAAGGAGGGGGGACATGGTGGGAGATAAAGTTGGAGAGCTGGACAGAGGTGAGACCTTGTGGGGAAAGGCGGCCCCATAACCGATATTGATTTCAATTCTAAGAGAATCAGCTAGTCCCTGAAGGGTCATAAGGAGGAAGAGGACATGATCAGATTGACACTGAGAAAGCTCCCCGCTGGCTGCAGTGTGAAGTGTGAAACTGCTGGGGCCCAGAGTGCTTGAAGGAAGGCCATTTAGGAGGCTGCTGCTGGTGGTGGTGAGGACCAGGGCAATGGTTGATGTGGGATGGAGTGAAGGGGACAGGCCTGAGAGCTCCTGAGAAGCCAAAGGAATAAGCAGGTCAGTGACAGATGATGGGGGTGTGCTCCACTTTTCAGCAGGAGCACAGAAGTCTTAAGACATCAGCCCCGCTGGAGAATGGGATTGCTTGGTGGAGGAGAGAGATCAGCAAGTGTCCAGATATGAAGTGAGAGTTTTAAACAAGGCACCAAGCTGCCATGATGTCGCTGTGTGAAGGAGGCCCTAGACCACATGTGGAGCTTTCATACAAATTAGCTGAAAACCAGTTAAACTGTTCTTGGGCCCTTCTCGAAGAGTAGGGATGTAAAAAAGATGACAGACAGCTGATAGAATCATTGATTTTTTATCTGATATATTTTTTGGACAGGGTCTTGCTCTGTCACCCAGGCTGAAGTGCCGTGGCACCATCATGGCTTACAGCAGCTTGGCCTTTTAGTCTCAAGAGAGTCTCCCATCTCAGCCTCCTGAGTAGCTTGGTTAATTAAAAAAAAATTTTTTTTGTAAAGATAGGGTCTCACTATGTTTCCCAGGTTGGTCTTGAACTCCTGGGCTCAAGTGATCCTTCTTCCTCAGCCTCCCAAAGTGCTGGGATTACAGGTGTAAGCCACTGCACCTGACCCTCACTGATTTTTAAAAAGGATTTCATGGAGAAAACTGGGCTAGGAACCCCATCTCCAAGGTAGAGGATTGGGGCTCAGTGCTTCCTCCTGACTCCAGGCTTAACAAGAAGGGCCCCCACAGGGCCACCCGGAGAGTTTGCTGTGGATTCCCCCAGTTGGGTCCCAGAGCACTGGAGCTGGAGCACAACTCTGGCCTAAGGAGCTGCAGGGGCCCAGAGCAGCAGAGCTGAGCTGATGGAGGGTCAAAGCAGGATCTGTCCTGGTGGCTGGGATGTGTGCTCAAAAGGGCAGCCAGAGGTCTTTAGAAAGACATGGGCTCCTATAGGCTCTATACAGTTCTAATTGCTGACTTGAGACAATGTTCATCACTTATAGGGTCTGTAAAACTTTTTTTTTGAGATTGAGTCTTGCTCTGTCACCCAGGCTGGAGTATAATGGCACAATCTCAGCTCACTGCAAACTTCAAGCGATGCTCCTGTCTCAGCCTCTTGAGTAGCTGGGATTACAGCATGTACCACCACATCTGGCTAATTTTGTATTTTTAGTAGAGTTGGGGTTTCACCATGTTGATCAGGCTGTCTCAAACTCCCTACCTCAGGTGATGTGCCTGCCTCAGCCTCCCAAAGTGTTGGGATTACAGGAGTGAGCCACTGTGTCTGGCTGAGGGTCTATAAAACTTTTAAATGACCTGAAAGTGATCCACCAAACAGTCACAGACCTGTTCAAGATCTTATCTAGTGGCAAGGGAAGGACTATTCTCACTAAGCAAAAATAAATGTGCTTTTTATCATATCTGAGAGTCCTGCCTGTTGGATGTACTGGGTACAGAAGTAATTATAAACAGTGAGCTGTGTGCAATAACTGAGGTATGGGTGAAGGAGAGAGGAACTGGAGGGGAGGAAGGTTTTCGGAAGTGACTGCTGGCTGGACCTTGGATTGCATTTTGGAACTTGCCACTGAGGGAAGGCAAGGCACTACAAGCAGATGGATCTGAATCTGAATGTCAGCAAGAAAGGAGTTTGAATGTGCTCAGACAGGATGGAGTGGGGTGTAGAGGACAGACATAGCACCAGACTTTGGGGGGACTCTGCAAACAGAGCTAAGGAATTGGTCATTCGTTTCCTGGAAGAAAGAGTAACAAGGCCTCACATCAATTTTCTGGAGAAGTGATTCTGGCAGGTGTGCCATGGGAATTCCAGCCTGAGTGAGGTGGGAGTAATTTGCTGAGTGGCCAGTAGGGGCGTGATCTTAGTGAGAGAGGCAGGAGGAGAGGACTAAGGCAGTGGCACTGGGAAGAGAGAGGAGGGTCCGATTCCAATGATGGGGTCTGTTTGCCTTTGACAATGAGTGGCCTGGCTGTGCTTTTGATCATAACAGTGAGGCCTGTCAGGAGAGGAGTGGGGTTGGTGGAGATGGGGCAGGATGGAGCCAGTGTGGTTAGAGAATGGAGTGAGGAGGTGAGAGCCTGCAGGCCTTGGGGACAGGTTAGGGTTTTGTCCTAAGGTCAGGGAAAGCTACTGGAGTATATAAGCCAGGGAGTGACATGATCTGATTTATATTTAATAAAATCTGCTTTGAGCAGAGTGGGTTGGTTGGAAGGGGGCAGAAGTGGTTGAAGGGTCACTGTTCCAACACTCTGAGTAGCCAAACCCAGGGAGAAGGCTTGCC